GTAGGGCTCGTGCAGAATCGTCGCATCGATTCGCAACTAGCACGCACCGGACACCGGGCACCGGGCAGCGGGCAACGGGTAGCGGCTCTTTGAGTGGTGGTGGTGGGTGTCGCGCGGTCGGGCAGCATGGGGCAGGCGTTCCGGAAGCTGTTCGACACGCTGTTCGGGAATCGAGAGATGCGGGTGAGCGGGCGGTGCGGGTGTGCGGGCGGTGCGGGTGAGCGGGCGGTGCGGGTGAGAGGGCGGTGCGGGTGAGCGGGCGGTGCGGGTAAAACGGATGTTTGTGAGAGATATGGATACTGAGGTTAAGAGGGTAGGGAGCGGGAACCACGGTGGAACGCCCATCTGTTACCAGCATTAGCTCTTGCATCCGTTCAATTCGGCCCCACTCCGTTGTTGCAACAATGGCGCCTTGATACTTAGCAAAAGGAGGAGCCGCAAGGCGCCATTGTCGTAACAAATTCCAGGAACAACTCTCTTGTGCACGTCTTTTGAGGCGCGTTAAAAAACGGAACAGCTCTTTGGCGCACGTCATTTTTTTAATTCGCGATCGCGTCCCAACACGTGCACTTGCACTCGCACTCATTACCGCCACATCCCGCTTCTCGTCGTGCTGCTCCCGCCATCCAACGGTCACTTAGACGCGTAGTTGCGGTCGCCACAGTAATACGCAGGAAACTCTAGAACTTCACTTGCTTCGCGTGTCGCCCCTCCCTCTTCCCCCTCCCCTCCCTCTTCCCCCTCCCCTCCCTCTTCCCCCTCCCCTCCCTCTTCCCCCTCCCCTCCCTCTTTCCCCTCCCCTCCCTCTTTCCCTTCCTCCCTCGCCCTCCCTCGCCCTCCCTCGCTCTCCCTCGCTCTCCCTCGCTCTCCCTCGCTCTCCCTCGCCCTCCCTCGCCCTCCCTCGCTCTCCCTCGCTCTCCCTCGCTCTCCCTCGCTCTCACTCCTCGTTCCCCCCGTGCCTCCCTGGCCCTGTGCGCGCGGCAGGTGCTGATGCTGGGGCTGGACGCGGCGGGCAAGACGACGATACTGTACAAGCTGCACATCGGGGAGATCCTCTCCACCGTCCCCACCATAGGTGCGTGCCGTGCCGCCCCACCATATAGCCGTACCCAGTCAACAACTAGTGGCGTACGCTCATCATTTACCCAGTCGACCTCTCCCTCTTTCGGCCTCCGCGCCGTGCGCCAATCCCGTCCCCACCTACTACCCCCTCCTTCCCCGCCGTTCCCCCCTCCCCATCCCCTACCCCTCTTCCCGTCCCACGCTGCGCGCGCGCGCGTGCCTTGCTGCGGGCATGGTGCGCGCCGGGTGGCAGGCTTCAACGTGGAGAAGGCGCAGTACAAGAACGTGCAGTTCACCGTGTGTGTGTTGTGTGCGGTGTGTGCGGTGTGTGCGGTGTGTGCGGTGTGTGCGGTGTGTGCGGTGTGTGCGGTGTGTGCGGTGCGTGCGGTGTGTGCGGTGTGTGCGGTGTGTGCGGTGTGAGTGATCTCCCCCCAACTCACAGGATTCAACGTGGAGAAGGTGCAGTACAAGAACGTGCAGTTCACCGTGTGAGCTCACCCTCCCCCGTCCCCCCGTCATGTGCTTGATGGTGTTTCCGTGTGCTGGGGTGCGCGCGCGTGAACAGGCTTCAACGTGGAGAAGGTGCAGTACAAGAACGTGCAGTTCACGGTGTGGGACGTGGGGGGCCAGGAGAAGCTGCGCCCCATGTGGCGCAATTACTTCAACAACACCGACGCGCTTGTAAGCCCTGCCCCGCGCGCTCTCTACCCTGCGCGCTCTCTACCCCGCGCGCTCTCTACCCTGCGCCCGCGCGCCTGCCTGCTGCGCGCCCGCGTGCCTCGCTCCTTTCCGCGCCCAGCCTGCTCGTGTCCGCTGATCTGTCTGTGCCGACTCTGGTGGGGACTGCACGCTGCCCGTGTGGCAGGGTGCTTGCTGCACTGCTTTCTGCATGTGCACGCGCCACGCCTCTGTGCCATGCCATCTGCTGCTCTCCAATCCCCGGCTCCCTGTGTGCATGTGTGGGGTTGTGGATATATTTTTAGTCGACTATTATTTAGTCTACTATTTTTGAGTCGACTAAGAAATGCTTTCTGACCTCCGGCTCCCTGTGTGCGTGGGCCTGTGGATTGGCGTGGATGGGTATTTGTGTGCTTTCTATGGTGGGAATGTGCGTGTGCACATGCACGTGCATGTCTGTATTTGTTTGCATTTGTGTGTTCGTTTGTGTCCGTGTGCATGTGTGCATGTGCATGTGTGCATGTGTGCGTGTACATGTGTGCATGTGTGCATGCATGCATTTGTGCATGTGTGCATGTGTGCATGCATGCATGTGTCCATGTGTGCATGTGTGCATGCATGCATGTGTGCATTTGTGCATGTGTGCATGTGCGCATGTCTGTGCATGCATGCATGTGTGCATGTGTGTGCGCCCCTCAGATCTACGTGGTGGATTCACTGGACAGGGAGAGAGTGCGGCAAGCAGCACAGGAGTTCCAGGTCACCCCTTGCTCTCTCTCTCTCTCTCTCTCTCTCTCTCTCTCTCTCTCTCTCTCTCTCTCTCTCTCTCTCTCTCTCTCTCTCTCTCTCTCTTTCACTCACTCACACACTCACTCGTCCGCCCTCTGCCTGCGCCACTGCACCGCCCTCTCTCTCCTCTCTTCTCCGCCTCTTACTCACAGACGTCTCATGAGTCATGCCCAGCCCATACGTGTGTCCTCACGTTGACTTCCAACCATGCCAAGCCCACGCTTGCCTGCACATGTCCCTGGGTTATGCATTCTTCTCCTTCCTCCCCTCCCACCATCATGTCTCCCTACTTCCCTCCCATCTCTCCACCTTCTTCCCACCCTGCCCTCTCCCACCGTTCCCAACCGCTCTCCCCCCCGAGTCCCTACCAATTCTTCATCTCCCAGTAACTCCACTCTACTCTCTCTATCACTCACCCGCACCCCTGCCCGCCCCATTCTTCTCCGTTCCCGCCCCCTCCCATGGGTCCTCTCGGCGCGTGCGTGCAGAGCATAGTGAATGATCCCCTCATGCGCAACAGTGCCCTCCTCGTCTTCGCCAACAAGCAAGACCTTGTCAGTGCTCGCCCTCCCCCCCCCCCCCCCCCCCCCCCCCCCTCTCTCTCTCTCTCTCTCTCTCTCTCTCTCCCTCTCTCTCTCTCTCTCTCTCTCTCTCTCTCTCTCTCTCTCTCTCTCTCTCTCTCTCTCCCCCCGCTCGCTCTCCCGCTTTCTCGCCCCTGCTCCTCCTCCCTCGGCTCCAACCCCCTTCTCTTCCCTCTTCCCTCCCTCCCTTCCTCCGCCCCCTTTTGTTCTCGCCCCTTCGCCCTTCCTCCTAATGGACTCATGTCATTTGTCTTACTCTAGAAGCGCCTTGTCCCCATAGGCTATCACTTCAAGCTTTGCGTGTCTTTTTTCTTCCTGCTGGCGCTGGTTCCTCCATCCCCCCCCCAATCCCACTCCACCCACCACGCTCGCTCGTCCACCTCATCCCTCATCTGCCCCTTCCTCTTCCCCCCACTCCCCCCCCAACCCTCCCTCCTTCCCCTCCCCATGCCCCTCATCCAACCACTACCTCCCCTTCCCCCCCTCCTCCACCACCTTACCTCGCGCACAAGGGCGCCATGTCGCCTCTGGAGGTGTGTGAGACAATGGGCCTGCAGCAGCTGCGCAACTGCTAAGGCCTTAGGGCCTGCGCAGCTGCAGCTTTTCAGACGTCTCAAAAGCCCCCTCCATTACCCACCTGCCCCCTCTCCTCCCTCTTGCAGAAGGGCGCCATGTCGCCTCTAGAGGTGTGCGAGATCATGGGGCTGCAGCAGCTGCGCAACCGCTACTGGCACATCCAGGGCACGAGCGCGCCCAAGGGCGAGGGGCTGTTTGAGGGGCTGGACTGGCTGGCGTCCACTCTCAAGACCATGCAGGCCAAGGGGCTCCCCACCTCTGTTACCACCCCCACTGCGGGCGCTGCCTGAATGTAGGGTTGGAGAGGGATGGGGCTGGGTGGGTGAGGAGGGGTGAAAACGGGTGAGGGATGAGTGACGACGGCCGGAAACCGTGTTGAGGTTGAAGGAGGTGTGGATGATATGTACCGTATACATAGATGGGGGGTAGTGGGGTGGGGGAGGAGGAGGGGTGTGGGGAATGAGAGGAGTGAAACTGCGGCAGTGGTGAGCTTGTCCATTCTTAGTCATCTAGTTACTTTCTATGGTAGATACTTTCTTGCTCAATGCTTGTGGGCCTTGTTCATTCCAGTTATTAGGGTACCGTTGTGTAGAAATGTCCATCCAAGGGGAGGTATGGTGTTCCAGGTGTGAGCATTGCAGCAGCTACTGTAGGTGCCTGCCACTGCCACTGTACTCTCTGTTTATGCTGCTCTCTTGTAATGCTCGGCGTGGTTGTCTAGTTGCATGCAGCAGAGCAAGAATTACCGTAAAAAGAGTGCCGATTCGTAGCACTAGAAGGAAGACTCTGTTCTGTTACATATTTGCGGCACTACATTTCGTGCCTATTTCACTCCTTGCAAGTGGCAAGAATTACACATAACATTAGATAACATACGGATCATCATCACTCCAGTGTCTGGCTGGGGTTCAGGTTCAGCTACAGTATTACAAGATCCAACTTTGTCCTCATGTACAGCTTAGGTAGACATCGTAGTCACTCCAAAAAACCAGGGGTGATACCGTACCTACCTCCCTCTCGTCTCGTCTGTAATGATCTACCACTCCAAAATATTATCGGTACTACACCTTTAGCATCCTAGCCTACCGGTAGCTCAACAGCTGGAACACATGTAGCGCATTGAAAGGAGTGAGCTGAACTTGAGGGTAGGGTACGCAATGCACACTGCAACTTGCATAACTGAACCTAATGCAGAGATCCAGATGCTCTCCAAGAATAATAACTCAAATGCTTTCTTCAAAACTTGCACTCATCACTTGAACCAGTCTCCATTCCTCCCTCTTGGTGTGCCTGACTTCCTCCTTCCTCGCGCATTCACTTGACTCTGTCAGCACTCACAGTCCCGTTGCACTGCCGCTGCCGTTCACCAGCCGCACTACCATCCAACAGATTGCCAGAGCCAGGAGCAGAGCCAGCAGCAGCAGCAGCAGCAGCACCAGGACGAGGCAGGTTGGCAGGCGGCAAAATCCCAGCAAAGGCACGAGAGGCGCCAGAGGCAGCCGCAGCAGCACCAGAAGCCACACCACCAGCAGCAGCATCAGCAGCAGAAGCGGGCAGGGAGAAGGCCGGGAGCGACAGCGAGCGCGGCTTGGCATGCTCCAGCGCGTGCACCTGAGGGGAGCGACGGCGGTAGAGCTCAGAGGCAGCCTTCTGCCCCTTGGGCACTCCAAAGATCCAGTCCAGTACGTTGAGGTACTTGGAGCGGAACACGTCCCTCTCGCTCTGGTAGCACTGCATGATCACCCCCGCTGCTGCTGCCAGTAACGCCACGTCTAGGAGAGCGTGCGGCTGCAGCACCGCTGCCGCCACTGGGAGAACTCCGCTTAGCGACTCCTTCACGATCCCTCCCCCCCTGCACCCTCCTGATGTTGCTCTGCTGCCTGTTCCCGCACCTCCCGCCCCTATGGCAGCTGCGGGTGCTCCGGCAGCAGGCTTGGCGGAGAGGTAGCGCTTGGCGAGGGCGGGGAAGAGGGCGAGGGAGGAGAGGGGCGGGAGGACGCCCCAGGAGGCGAGGCAGATGAAGAAGGACTCGATGGCGCGCGAGAAGCAGTAGAGCGCCAGCTCCATGCGTCGCGACTTCTTCTCGAGCAGCACTGCCAGCCCGCACAGGAACTGTGAAGGGGGGGGTGTAAGGGAGGGGAGGGGTGGGAGGGAGGCAAGGCAGATGAAAGAAGATGGGACGGCATGCAAGAAGCAGTAGAGTGCCAGCTCCATGTGATGGGACTTCTTCTCGAGTAGCACTGCCAGCCCGCACAGGAACCGCGAGGGACGGAGGGAGACCGGGAGAGGCGGTGAGTGGGAGGATGGAGAGTGTGGGGTGAAGAGGGATGGAAGGATGGGGAGATGAGAAGTAAGCGTGTGAGGAGAGCACGCAGATGAGGGGAGGGTTGGGTGATGCAGATATAAGGCGAGGATTGCAGGTAGGGTGGTATGCCACCTTTCTAACCCTCAACTACCCCCCCTTTCTCAAAGCACCCAAACTCCAACATGCTCCATGATGTTGCACTGTCCCCTCCCCCTTCCTCTGTCCCCCCTTCCCCACCCGCTTCAATGCATGGCACACTCACCGCGCCACCAGCCATGGTTGCCCGCGTGCACTTGCCAACCAACTGGTGAATGTTGCACGTCCAGAACCTGGGAGATGGATGGATGGGTGCCATGGGAGGCATTGGGCGGCATGGGAGGCATTGGGCGGCATGGGAGGCATTGGGCGGCACAGATGGCAGTGAATAAATGGCATAGAGCAGTCTCGGGGGAACTGGGCGGCATGTGATGGCAGGACATAGGAGCAAAGGAAGCAGGAAGCAGGGCATGTGAAGGGGCTTTAGGCAACCGCGTGAACGTGCGTAAGGGTGAAAGGGTGAACGGGTGAACGGGCTCGTAGGAATGGGTGGACGGGAGCAGAGGAGAGAGAATTCATTGGGAAGCAGGAGACGAGAGTGGTGTGTGGAAGCAGGGATGCGCAACGAGCAGGGGTGGGGGGGGCAGATGGAGGCATGAGGAGCAAGGTGGTTAGGATTGGAAAAACAGCGGGGAGGAGGGGAGGAGGGGAGGAGGGGAGGAGGGGAGGAGGGGAGGAGGGGAGGAGGGGAGGAGGGGAGGAGGGGAGGAGGGAGGAGGGGAGGAGGGAAAAAAGCGGGCAAGAGGGAAAAAAGCGGGCAGGAGGGGAGGAGGGGAGGAGGGGAGGAGGGGAGGAGGGAAGGGGGGGAAGGGGGGCGGAGGGGAACTGGGGAAAGGAGGGCTGAGGGGAAGGGGGGGAAGGGGGGCGGAGGGGAAGGAGAGGAGGGGGAGCAGCACCAGGCAGCGCCGCAGTAGGTGGAAAGGAAGAGCGAGGAGCGCGCTGCTCCCAGAGCCGTGCGCAGTGCTATGGACAGAGGCCTGGTGGGGAGAGCGGGCCAGGGGGATGGGCAGTGGGGTAGGGGAGTTCAAACAGATGTTTTGCAAGCCTACAAGTTTTAGTGTAGTGTGAGGTGTGTGTAGGAGCAGAGCAGGGAGGCACAGAGCGGAGAAATGGGAGGGGCAGACGGAGGAACAAGGAGCAGGAGATTTGGGAATGGGGTTGAAGTCTCAATGGGCGTCCATGGGAGGAGCGAGAGTAAAAGAGATTAGACGTGTACACGACTTGGGTTGACCGCCAAGCCATGGGCCTCCACTTGGGGAAACATTCTTTCCAGTCTACTTCTCTATCTAGCCAAAGATTGAAACAATGCTTGCGCCAGAGGGTCTCATGAACCAGGGGGAAGGTTAGGGAGAAGGGATGGGACGAGTGGGAGTAGGAAAGAAAGAGGCGTGCGCAGGAGGGTGGGACAAGAAGCAGCAGCAGGGCAGGGGGCGCTGACTGGCGAAGGAGGGAGGAGCGGTGCACGAGCAGTGCAGAGACGAGGTAGACTGGCACATAGACGGGCACAGCCCTCATGTACGCCGCTGGCAGGAAGGAGAGGAAGTGCCACCCGCACCACCCGCCCGGGTGCAGGAACTAGCGGGGTTGTGGGGCACGGACGGTTGAGAGGGGACGGGAGGGGAGGGGATGGGAGGGGACGGGACGGGAGGGGAGGGGAGGGGAAGGGAGGAAAAGGGTGGGGAGGGGAGGGAAGGGGAAGGGAGAATAGGGGAAAGCAGGGTAGGGGAGGAGTGGGGAAAGGAGGGGAGGAGTGGGGAAAGGAGGGGAGGGAAGACGTTGTTGGAAAGAAATGGGCGGAAGGGCAGTGGATTAAGGAGCAGTGTGGATCGGATCATGTACATGGAGGGTGTGGTGTGCACACCCGGTGCGGGAAAGCAAGAACGCAAGGCATGGCGTTGCAGCGCAAGCAGCAGCAGTAAAGGAGGGTGAAGCAAGGAGGGAGAAGTAAAGGCAGCGAACAGAAGTGTGGGGACTGAATGTGGGCATGGCGGGCATAGCATGCATGGAGGGAATGGCGGGCACAGTGGGCAAGGTGGGCATGGTGGGCATGCATGGTGGGCATGGTGGGCATGGTGGGCATGGTGGGCATGCATGGTGGGCATGGTGGGCATGGTGGGCATGGTGGGCATGGTGGGCATGGTGGGCATGGTGGGCAGGGCATGCAGGGCATGCAGGGCATGCAGCGCAAGCATGGCATGCATGTGACTCACATCGCAGGGAATGGAAGCTTCATGCATCGGCACAACACGTGTCCATGGCAGCTTCATCCCCCCCTTCCCCCCGCTCCTCCCCCCCTCCCCCCCCCTGCGTGCAAGCATCTTATCCAGGTCCGCACTGCAGGCAGGGGTGACGCGTCTGTGCAGCGCCATCTGGCTCATGGCCTGGTACACGCAGGGCGGCTTGCCGCCGTGCTTGTTCAGGAACGACACGTATGTTGCTGGTAGGCTGTGCGGCTCCAGCATCCACGCGGAGCTGGGGGGCGAGAGGGGTAGCATGAGAAGAAGGGAGAGGGAGAGGGAGAGGGAGAGGGAGAGGGAGAGGGAGAGGGAGAGGGAGAGGGAGAGGGAGAGGGAGAGGGAGAGGGAGAGGGTGGGAAGGCTGGCTGGTAGGCTGTGCAGCTCCAGCATCCACTCGGAGCTGGGGGGAGTGGGACGCACGGGGAGGGGAGGTGGGGACAACGGGGGAGACGGGGGAGACCGGGGAGACAGGGGACAATGGGGAGAGGGGAGATAGGGGGGAGACGGAGGAGACGGGGGAGAGGGGTTGCATGGGACGAAGGGAGTGGGAGAGGGTGGGGGGGCTGGCCGGCAGGCTGTGTGGCTCTAGCAACCACGCGGAACTGGGGGGAGTGGGACACACCGGGGAGAGGAGGGGATGGGGTGTGGGAGGAGCGGAGAGAGAGGGGGAGAGAGAGGGGGAAAGAGGGAGGGGCTGCGGGGGGTGAGGGGTTGCATGGTAAGAGGGGGAGAGAGAGTGGGATTGTATAAGGGGGCTTGGATGTGGAAAGGGGGGGGTGATGGGGATGAGTGTGTGTGTCGGCGAGGGTTTAGGGTTGAGTGAGTCTTCAGTCCACGCTCAGGTTGAACACAACACACCCTGAGACACTTAGGGTGTCTTGACTGCATGTGGCAGCAGCTGTAGGTAGGGTAAGCGAATGTGGTGACAGGGAGCAGCGGGAGACGTGACGGGCAGCAGAAAAGGGTTGGGAAGGTGCACACGCATTCCCCAAGCACACGGTAGCGATTCACACTTGGTGCATGCAGCATCGCAAGCGAGACACGGGGACGGACAGAGCAGCAGAGACGACAGAGGGAGAGGGAGGGTAGAGGGAGCGGGAAGGTAGAGGGGAGGGAGGGCAGAGGGGAGGGAGGGTAGAGGGTGAGGGAGGGTAGAGGGGAGGGAGGGTAGAGGGGAGGGAGGGCAGAGGGGAGGGAGGGCAGAGGGGAGGGAGGGCAGAGGGGAGGGAGGGCAGAGGGGAGGGAGGGTAGAGGGGAGGGAGGGCAGAGGGGAGGGAGGGTAGAGGGTGAGGGAGGGTAGAGGGGAGGGAGGGTAGAGGGGAGGGAGGGCAGAGGGGAGGGAGGGCGGAGGGGAGGGAAGGCGGAGGGGAGGGAAGGCGGAGGGGAGGGAAGGCGAGGGGAGGGAGGGTAGAGGGGAGGGAGAGCAGAGGGGAGGGAGGGGAGAGGGGAGGGAGGGTAGAGGGGAGGGAGGGCAGAGGGGGACGGAGGGTAGAGGGAAGGGAAGGCAGAGGAAAAAGAAAGCAGGGGAAGTGAGGACAGAACGAATTGAGGGCAGAGGGGGAGGGAGTGGCGGGACTGACAGGATCTGATAAGCGGAGGAGATGCACATGAGCAGTGTGTCGCCATGGCGCCAGGTGAGCGGGCGGACAGGGGAGAAAGGGCAGGGGGACGTGAGGCGGGGGGGAGGGCGGGCAGAGGGAAGAGAGGGGAGAGACTGACAGGATCTGGGCGGCGGAGATGCACATGAGCAGCGTGTCGCCATGGCGCCAGGTGAGCGGGCGGAAGAGCCAGCCCCAGGAGGGGCTCTTGATGCCGCACCGCACCGCCAGCACCACGGCGCGCAGCAGCACGTAGAGCGCCAGACTCGTGTGCCGCGTGTTGGGCCCCGCTAGCAGGAGCGACGGCGCTGCTGCTGCCCCTGCCAGCAGCGCCCGCCACCTGCGCGTTCTGCTCAGGCAGGTGTGCGCGGGCAGGGCGATTGTGTGGGAGAGGGCGGGCGAGCGGGGAGAAAGCAGGGGTGGAATGGAGAGGCGAAGGGGAGGGGGGCCATGTGGAGTGACACGATGAGGCAAGGCAAGGGCATATGGGACGGAGAGTATGGAGTGAACGGGAGTGATTGTGCGTCGCGGTTGATGTGATGGATGTAGGGCAAGGAGTGCGTGCATGCACGCATGCGCTCCCTGTCCAAACGCACACACACAGACACACATGCACACGCACACATCCTTGAGCATCCATCCACATGTAAGTACTTCTCCTGTCCGCCCACGGCCTCAATGCCCTCGTCCAGCACATTCTTCCCCCCCAACCGAAACCCCCTCCCATCCCACCCCCACCACCCACACACGCACACACGCATGCACGCGCGCATACCCATCCGCGCACAGGCACATGCACGTACTTGTCGTGTCCGCCCACGGCCGCAATGCCCTCGTCCAGCACGCAGTAGGAGCCGGCGAACGTGCCCACGAACATGCCGTACCGCACGCCCTCGCGCACCACCCCCACCACGCCCTCCCACACGCCCGCCGCCGCTGCTGCGTCCTTGTCGCCCCTGCAGGTACCGCCATGCACATAAGGCACCACACACACCGCATACAAGGCACCACAACGCACCACAAAAAAACAGAAAGCATTGCACGCAAGGCAGCGCCAGCGGTGAGAAGGGCCTATGAAAGTGAGTGGGCAGTGCGCGCGGGAGTGGGGCGTGGGACCGGACAGCACGCATTGCATGCGTACTCGCGGAATCACGAGCCACAAGAAGCCTCAGTGTCCGCTGCCATGCACCTTCACCTACATCCATGCCCACGTTTATTACGTGCCCGTGCGCCCACGTGCCCGTGCGCCCACGTGCCTGTGCGCCCATGTGCCCGTGCGCCCACGTGCTCGTGTGCTCACGTGCCTTGGTACCACCCCCTCTCCCCGCTCTAGCCCCGTTCCACCCTGCGCGCGTGCGCTGCCCCGGCACGGCTCGGCGCACTCACGAGGCAATGCGCGCGCGCCGGCGTCTGAGTCGCCCCAGCAGGCTGAAGAGCGACAGTCCGCCGCGCAGCCCCGCGCCGATGGCGAACCCCTTCACCGCCGCCACCAGCCCGCGCTCGATCGCGTCGAACCCCTCCGCCCACGCCTTCTGCGCCACCTGCTGCTGCGCCCTACTCTCCCCGCCCTCCGCGCGCGCGCCGTTCGCCAGCTTGTCGCTGCTGCCGCCCGCCGCGGCGATCCTCCGCACGTCCACGCTGGACGCGAATCTCAGCGCGCGCTGCTGCTGCTGCTGCTGTTGCGCCATGCGCTTCTCGCCTCTCTCCTGTACCGCCTCGCCCCCTGCTGCCACCGCAGTTGTCACCCGTATGCGCGCACTCTGCGCCACTTGCACGTCCGCGGTACCCCGTGACTTCAATTGCGGCACGTCGCTATAGTCACGTCCGCCCGATCCCGCCGCTGCTGCGCCGCGCTGTCGAAGCGGAGTCAGCGGCGCACATGCGCACGAGCCAGGCGGTCCGTGGCGGCCGCACGTGGCGCAGTTGCTGATGACGGGCGAGTCGGGGTTGTGCGACAGCGACACGAGCGACTGCGCGAATTGATACGGCTCCGCGTACTCGTCGTCTACCTGCTGCGGGGAATCGCCGAGGCTGCTGCTGCGATGCCGACCCGCCTCCGCGACCCCGCTCGACCCTGCCGCTTTCCGCTCGCCGTCAAGCACAAGCCACCCGTTTGCCGCATCGCTGCTTGCTGCCGCCGGCTCCTCTCCGCGCTGCCGATCGGCATGCGCGCTGCCCGCTTGGACCGTCGCCCCCGCTGCCTCCCCCCTCTCGCCAAGCGCGCACTCCCCGTCCGCGTGGCAGCCGTTTTCCGCCCGCCTCTGTTCCGCTGGCTCTCCCCTGCCCGCGGGATTGCGCGGGTTGCCGCCACCGTGCTCCCCACTGCCGGCCATGCCGCCGCGCTGTCGATGCACGCTAAGAGGGCTGTCTAATAACCGCCACAGCTGGCGCTGCGAAACTGCCGTCAGCAGTAGTAGCAGTCGCGCCGACAGGGAAAAGGAAGGAAATAAGTAGATCGTCACGTGAACTGATCGGCGTTCAAATACACTGATACTACGCCGACAAATACACTGATATGCCGTCGGATACGCGACTGTAACAAACCTGCCAGTGCTGTCGGCGATATGATCGCACAGGCGCGACTGCTTACGTGGACTACAAAACCCACGTCACCTGTGGCTGCTGTCCCCAGGTGCCATGGCGCGAATGACACTGCGGACCTGATCGACCGAGGCAGGGACTAAGGATAAAGACCACTAGCGGAAAACCCCGACGCCTCTGGTGGAATCTAGTCCAGGTAGGTAACAGCACAGTCTTGATGATGTTTCGGAGAACTCGATGCACGGCAGCAATTGCACTACTTGCCAGTCGCACAGGAAGCAACGTTCATCCGGATCGCTACATGCTCGCAGTTCTTAGATAACTAACTCATCGCACAGTGTCGTCTGAATCCAGACGAGCCGATGCATCGTAGACGATCCTGGTCGGAGAGCACAACGCAACCGGCTGGCGCTATTCCCGGTCACATCACGGCATGGCAGTCAAGGCGTGGTGAGAAAGAGTGTGGGGTGGGGGGGGATGGTGTTCTCGGGCGACCTTGGGCCCCGATCTTGCACTGCGTGGTTGCACGGTGTTCCCCATGTGAGTCCCAGATTTGGCCGCGGAGAAAAAGGTCGATGGCGAGCCGAGAGGGACTTGGGCGTTTCGTGTATCAGACTCCAGGTCAGCGTGGTTGACACGAAGCTGGACGTCCGAAACACTGCTGTTTTGGACATCCCAGTTCGTGTGCGACCGGGCCTCTCGACCAGCGTTGTTCACGCCCTACAAGCCTCGTGTGGTCCAGCTGCTGGTTGTGGATGCGAGGTTTCCCCTCGGGTGCAGGAGTGACACCTTGGCGAGCATCGAAGAACCACATTGCGCTTTGATTGGATACGCAATCCACGCAACTCCCTCGTCAGCATCGATCCCATTGTCTGGGGATTGACTACCATCCCCGCTTTTACAAACGACAAATTTCGAATCACAACTTCTACTCATTTTCCTTAGAATCACTCAAGGACGCATCAATGAATGTCGGGGGAGGGTCTAGGACTCACCTAGGCCTTGGCTGCGTTCTGTGGGCGCATTAGCCCGCATCAATGTACATTGCAAAAAAAAAAAAATCGATTTTCCAGAAGCCTTCCTTGATAACCAGCCGAAAGGATATCAAGGCTCGCGATAAGCGCATGGCTGCCGAGGCAAGCCAAGCCCGAATGCCTGCAGAACGGTCTTTTTGGCAACCACAAATTTACATATCGCCGCTTTCCGAGAAATTTATCGTCCTAGCAATCTGACACATCCTTGATGCGCGCATGATGCAACGCCGAGAAGACGCATGATGCGCGCATCAGCTCGAATTGGGCAATTGAACCGCGCATCATGCGTGTAAGGAAGGCGTCAGGTGCGTGCTTCCCAACTTCGAAGAACCTTCAGCACCCTGCAATTCCTCGGAAATTTGAGATCGAGATTTGACATGCCCGAAATTCGAAATCTCCAATTTCTGATTTCCCGAACCTCAATCTCCATTTTCCGAACCTCTATTTTTCCATTTTAAACTCCTCATTCCCGAACCTCAATTTGTCAATGTGCGGATCAGGCCGAGCCTAGGGCGAAAACAGAGCTGATACGCCTGGAGAATGCAATTCTAACCTGTCATAATAATGAACAGGGATGAATCAACTAGCAGCAGGATGGGTCCAAGTAGCAAACCTTAATTTGGGTTGTACCCCATATGGGCTACCCCACTATAGCATACACAACAAGCAACACATAGTTTGACACACCCCCATAGGCAAAGTGGGGGAGAACAAGAGGTCACAAGACCAGTCAAGAAAGGCAAAGAAAGCTCAGGGTGGATCACGAAGTCACCACACATTCTGAGCACAAGCAAATGGCCACAAGGCCAGTTCACATGCAGAGTTATATATAAAGGAGAACAAGCAGTACAGTGATCACTGTTAAGAATGAGGAATGAGTGAACTAGCAAGCAGGTGGGTACAAGTAGGAAAACCTAGAAATGTTGTACCCCATATAGTCTACCCCACTACAGCCTACACAGACTATAGCATATAAGTTTGACACACCCCCATAGGCAAAGTGGGGGAGAACAAGGGGTCACAAGACCAGTCAAGCAAAGCAAAGCAAGCTCAGGGTGGATCACAACGTCACCACACAATCCGAGCACAAGAGCAAGGCCAAAAGGCCAGTTCACATGCAAGATCATATATAAAGGTAAACAGGCAAGTGCAGGTATAGAAAGATCACAGTACAAGCAAGGTCAAGAAGTGAGCAAGTGAGGCCAAGTAGGCACAAGACCTAGCATCGTACAGAAGCGCTGATGATCACAAGGCGGAAGTGCCTTGGTAAAGATATCAGCAGTGTTGGCCTCAGAGGCCACGTAAGCAAGGCGCAGCTGACCACGCTGCTGCAGCTCACGAGCAAGGAAGTAGCGAAGAGCAATGTGCTTCGTTCTGTGCTCCAGTCTGTGCTCCCGACACAAGGCCAGCATGGCCTTGTTGTCTACGTACAGAACTGGAGGAGAACGAGGCGGCTCTCCTAGGTCAGTCAGCAGGTAGGTGAGCCAGCGTAGCTCCTGTGCAGCCATGGCCCCCGCGTAGATCTCAGCCTCACAGCTGGAGCCGAGAACAGAAGACGAGCGGGTAGACCACCACGAAACAGAGCCGGAGCCAAGGCTGAAGGTGTAACCCTGTGACGACCGCTGCGTAGCCTGGTCGTCAGCCCAAGAAGCGTCTGCGTGACCTGTGAGGACCACTCGACGTCGCCCTCCAAGCACTAGCCCCATGCCCGACGTACTGCACAAGTAGCGCAACACCCTCTTCGCTGCAGCCATGTGCTCTGGTCGGTGTCTCCCAGGAGCAACATAGCGTGCCAAGATGCTAAGAGGGTATGCAAGGTCAGGTCGTGTGCAGGTCATCAGGTACATGAGGCAGCCAACAAGCTCTGGGTACGGGCCACTCGGCTCTACGGACTCATCCGAAGGCAGAGCTGAGAGCGAGTGGCGAGTAGACAGAGGAGTGGCCTGAGGCGAGGAGTACGTGACGTCGAAGCGCTGAAGAACCTGCTGCACCATGTGTGACCGAGTCAGGGTAATGGTGCGCTGTGCTCTGTCCCGGGTGATCTGCAAGCCAAGGTAGCTGCGCAGTTCACCCAGGTCTGTGCACGTGTGTCTCTTCTGCAGCTCGGACTTCACGTGGGCGAGTCCAGCAGTGTCAGCAGTGGCAAAGACCAAGTCGTCGACGTACACGAGGATGTAGAACGGCGGCAAAGAGGTGTCGGTGCGCAGAAACAGCGACGGGTCGGCTGTAGAAGGAGCAAACCCAAGAGCCGCAAGTGTAGTCCTCAGTGTGTCGTGCCACTCACGGGGCGCCTGGCGGAGACCGTAGACTGGCCGCCGGAGGCTCCACTGGGTACCAGGAGGAAACGACCCAGTGAAGCCAGGTGGGCGGCGCAGCCAGATCTCCTCGTGCAGGCTGCCCTGCAGGAAAGCTGTGCTGAAGTCAAGAGAGTGAAGCTCGTAGTCGCGCTGAGCGGCTATGTGCAGCAGCACCCGAAGAGTGGTCATCTTCGGGGTGGGAGAGAAGGTCTGAAAGTAGTCAACTTCCTGCCGCTGACTGAAGCCTCGAGCCACGTAACGCGCCTTGAAGACAGGCGGAGAACCCGGCGGCCGCTTCACCCTGAAAATCCACATGCCACTGACGATGTTCGCCCCAGGTGGGGGAACCTCGTCGACGTAGGTGCCTGTGGACTTCCAGGAAGCCATCTCTGCGTCCATGGCTGACTGCCACTGTGAGGAGTAGGGACCCTCGATCGCCTCAGCGTACGATCGAGGAGTCGGGATGTCTGGTGCATCCGGGTCTCCCTCAGGGGCAATCAGCGTGGACACGAGATGAGGCAAAGCAGCAGCAAAACACTGGAACTCCTCCTGCCTGTCCTCAAGGACGTCCGTGCTAAGAGCACACTCACCCCCGACGGACGGAGGACAGACAGACTCAGACTCAGCAACAAGACTAGCAGAGTAGTCGAGACGACAGCGAGCAGCAAAGTCGACAAGCTCAGCAACTAGGGCAGACGCAGCAACGGACTCAAAGGAAGGGTCAGTGACAACAGTAGCCAGGAGACGCGTGACAGTAGGACTGGCAGCATGAAGAGAGTCAGACTCCGGGTCAGCAAGAACAGGAAGAGAGGACTCTGGAGGAGACGGCAACGGGACACGCAGAGGAGCAGTGGAAGGACGCAGTGCCATCTGGTGTGTTCCTGGGACCGCAGGAGGACGCGGACGCGAAGCACGACCACTAGTGCGAGCAGCACGAACAGGCGACGCAGGACGAGACGCAGGCTCACGACGCTCAGCAAGACCTCCAGTAGGACCAGTGTAGGGAGAAGGAGCAGGTAGGGGGGAGGCGAGCTGTAACTGTGACTGCGACTGGACAGGCTGTGGACACTCTAAGGGAGGAGCAGGACCAGTAGAGGGCGGGAGACCAAGAACCTGCTCAAGGAGCGGAACGAAGTACGGCCTCGGCCGCGCAGCGCCTCCAGAACCAGCAGGGACAGCACCAGTACCCCCAGCGGCAGCACCAGCGCCAGCAGCACCTCCAGCTCCAACAGCGCCAACTCCAGCACCCTCAGACGCACCAGCGTCAGTAGAACCACCAGCGCCAACAGCTCCAGAAGCTCCAGCAGCACCAACTCCAGCAGGACCGGCAGCTCCAGTACCGCCAGCAGCTCCAGCAGTACCTCCAGCAGGACCATCTCCAGCAGCCCCAGTAGCACCCCCAGTCCCAGTAGCTCCAGTACCGCCAGTACGAGCACCTCCGGGACCAGCAGCAACAGTAGT